CTGTAGAGGGAGGGAGCTATGGCTCCGGGAGTCTTTGGCTTTCAGGTTATGCTTATTCGGTCAAAACAACTCCAATAAAGTAATTTCATTCATTGTGTCCAGTATGCGCGCTGAGCAGCTTTTCTTTCCCCAACTCGGTTCTATAGAAACATTTCCCGGTTGTTGGAAGAGGATCACTAGAATTGGAACAGCGAGGGAAGGACTGAACCGAACCCAGTGACCTCTCTCCCAGCACCCAAGGCCCCAGGATAAGCAGCTCCAGAGTACTGATGACCACACTCCTCGCGGCTCTTCCCTCGGGAGAACCCGGGCACATAAACAAAAGGCCACCTCCAAGAACGTTCTTGGAAATCAAGGGACCAATGATCATGAGCTCCCTCATGACTGCCGGAAGCCTCCAACAGGTTCGAGATGTGCCTTTGAAAGCCAGTCTCCGCAGGCTGCGCTCGCTCGTCTGCTCAGCTCTCCCTCTCACCACCGAGAACTTTCCTTTCTACCAAAAGTAAAACATTCGGAGCAACTTCTCCGAAAGCGCATTGAAAAGTAACACAAGCCTTTTCCACACCAGCCAAGGCCTGGAGAAGAGGGACGCCGTCCCCACGCGTGTCGGGGCGCGAGAGTCGGCAATTACACCCGATTACCTCCGTGGGGAAAAGTGTAAACCAGCAAGTCCGCGACTCCAGGCAGACGTGCCTAGTGGAGCCCCAGGCTCATTTCAATACAATAAGCCGCATTCCTACAATTACACCCTCTTTGCTGAGCTCCTTCAGCGCCTCTGCAAACTCCGGCCGCGGCTGCCCAGGCACCGTCCCTCCTAAGCTTTCTCCCAGACAACCAGCTCCGTTTCACCATTAGGCACATTAACTTGGACCCACCAGAGTCCCTATTTTCAATCCCACGTAAAAGGCAGGAAAATTACTGCCGTTCATCACCGGGGCTCCAACTCTCTGCCACCGCCGCCGCCGCCGCCGCCGCCGCCGAGAGCATCATTACCATGACAACTAGAGCCGAAATACCCTGAATTACAACGCTGGAGCTGCTACAGCACAAATCCAGGTCCTCCTCTTTGTTAGAGGCTTTTCGCCTCTTTGGGTGGGGAGAGGAATCTCACCCGCTCCAGAGTCCCCAAGGGCTAGTAGCTACAGGAGAAAAGTTTCAGATTGGAACCCACCCGCCGCTTGGCGAGCAAAGCCGGAGTGGGGAGGCGAGTGTGTGTGGGGGCACCCCACACTCAAAGTTGTCAATTTAAGGAGCGACGCTTCCCAGCGCGCCAACTTTTAAGCAAGTCCCCATATTAACTGGGCAAATCATACGTACTTGGGTGCTGTGGCGGTTCCGTCTTTAGAGCGAGTTTCTAGAGAGCGGTCCCGAAATCTGGACTGGGGGAGTCACAGCTGTTGTCCCGGAAGGGCTGCGGTGCACAAGCCCAGCGGCTCCCAGAGGCGGCGAGCGGCTGGCGGGGGATGCTGCGATCCCAACTCATGGGAGAGCGCCGCCGAGAGGTTCCGCCGGCGTCCAGTCTCCTGCCGCGACCCGGGGGTAGGATGTCGCTGCGGTTCCCACCTCCACGGCCACTGCCCGCTCTGTCAGCGTTGCAAAGTGAGCCCAGGAGGGGCGTCCGGCTGCGGCGCCGCGCGGCACCGGCGAGGGCGCCGGGCGAGAGGGGTGTGAGCGCGCGGGAGAGAGTGGAGTGTGTGCGAGGAGCGTGTGAGCGCGCGTGTGTCTGTGTGTGCGAGTGAAGGAGCGGGTGTGAGCGTGTCTGTGTATGGGGAACGGAGGAGGAGCAGGCGCTGGAGGGGTAGGGGGCGGGAGGCAGGAGACTCGGCTCTCCCGGCTGCGCGTTCGCTCGCTCTCTCGGCACGTCATTTATGCCACAGGAGCCCTAGCGGCCTCTCCATAGAGTGCCTGGAATGCGAGACGTCAATGTGACGCCATGGGACGCTACGTCACCCTCCTCCTCCCTCCCCTGGCCCAGCCGGTTCCGCGTGTGCGAGGGTGTGTGTGTGTGTGTGTGTGTGCGCGTGTGTGTGCTTGTGTGTGTGCGCGCGCGTTCCCCGGCCATTCGCACGGCCGCACAATGGAAACGGTGGGGAGCTGCGGACCCCAGCCCCGAGCCTGCTCCGACCCGCGCACCGGAGCCGCTCGCCAGGGCGCATGTCTACCGGAGGGTGCCGCAGCCAGCCTGCGGGTCAGGCGGACCGCCCAGCTGTCAGGCTCCGGGTGGAGTAGAGTTGGAGGAGTGCTGCTGGCTGGCCTCCGAGGCTGCCCCGAGGCACCGAGCCAGGTCGAGGGGGTAAGAGAGAGGACAGCTCTTCCGAAAGGGAAGGCTCCGCCAGCCAGCTTCTCCGAGTGACCTGGCAGGCGCTGCTGAAGGAGTCTGGCACCAGCCCGAAGACTCCCCGAGGTGCAGCTGTGCTTTCCTCATGCAATGGTTCGGAGGCTGTTTACGTCTCTCTGGCCCTCTGCGCCTAGGCTAATTTGCCGCCGCCGCCTCCTCCTCCTCCTCCTGTCTGTGGCTGGTGTTTCGCACGGGGATGCAGACGGCTCCAGGGACAAGATTTTTATTATTATTATTATTATTATTATTATTATTTCTTTACACTTATGGTGTGGGGTTCTTCACCGGACACTTTATAACCCCAAGAAGTGCACATCCAGCCACGCGCGCGCTGCACGAGAAACTATATATAAAACAAACACACCACACGTGTTGAACAGCTGAGCGAGTGTGACTGTTAAAGAGAGCGTCTCTCTTCCCCAGCACCCGGGCAGACATGGAACTCCACTCGCGCTTTGACTTTTTTGAGGGTTGTAGACGCCTCCCCTCCCCTCTCTCAGATGAAATATTTCAAAATCAATCAGCAGGATTCATTAATCTGTCTCTAGGGCATTTCCTATGGTCTCCCGGGACACATTTGTCTTCCTGGTTGTGCGGAAAGCCTGGGCAATTATACGAGGGACAGCAATGTCTTCTTGGAAATGAACTTAGGGTGTCACTTTCTCGCTGAAAACAAAACAACAAAAACGTATCCAAGTTAAGAACTCTTAGTTCCAAAGGTTGCTGCTGAATGAAAGCAACCTCTCTCGGAAAATCATTTTTACGAAGGAAATGTTTGAATGAAACAATGCAGGCAGCTGCGGTCTCTAGTGGCCTGCTAGAATCTCAGCTGGCATTTTCTTTTGACCTGTTCCCAACATTTGAGTGTGTGGGTGTCCAAGTTGTGGGGAAGAGGACCCCTCTCCCCCTTGTCGTAGCACATGCTTCAGAATCGAAGAAGGTTCGAGCTAGGACCAGAAACTCGGGGGAAAAACAAACACACACACACACACACACACACACCCTGTGCATCATGTGAAAGTCTACGCCTCCACTTTCACTTCGGCAGGCTAGTGTGCCTAAGACTAGGAGAGGACGCTCCGAAAAGTTGCCCTAGCCGGGAGGAACTGAGCCCCCAGCCTGCGGGTGCGTTCCCATCCCCGCCCAGAAGGAAGGAGGGCGCTCCTACATTGTAGCCATTCAAAGGCTGGGGGTTGGGAGAGCAGGACCTGGAGCCGCGCGGCGCTGACGCACGCGAGGCGCGTGATTGACGCAGGCGATGTTACTAAATTGGGCGGTTGGCCGGGCCCTGGCGGCGGCGCGCGCGCGGCAGATAGCGGAGTAGGTTCCCCTCGGTCACCCCCGCCCGTCTCCATTCAGCGCGGCGCGGCGCGG